AAACATCACATAGTAATGCCGTACTTATAATTTTAGTGAAATTTGTGGATAATAATAAATTCCAATCAGAGGAAGTCTTAGGATTTGAGAGGCCCTAGGCAAAATTTATTTTTGAGGTCCTAAAAAGAACGATAGAGGTAGAGGATAGATTTATTGTGTCTACAATAATATGAAGATTTTAATATAAAAACAGTTTGTAAAACACATAATAAAATGTATACAACAGATTTACAATGAATTGGTAAATTCAATAAGTGTTCAGAAATTCACCTAAAAAAACTGTTTTTCTGCTTTAACAGTGCTGAATTAATCACAGCAATATCTCTTTCAATGGACAAGATCGAATGTGAAGAAAGTATCTCTTAATACATTACTGTTTGGAGGTAGTTCTTGATCAATTTCAAATGAGCATTCTGCAGATCCAGCCGATACTGATACAATTATATACTCAATAATTACTGATTTGATAATTTAATTACTAAAATCTACTACGAAATTTGCAAGACCCTAGGTCTTTCTCCTTCTTCTGATTTCAATCCTTCTTAGATCACCAGTACCCGAGTGGATAAAACCACTGAACTCCACAGTGGTCGTGGGTTCGTGCCTCTCCAATTTTATTCATATACGGCAACGAAGCACATGGGCGATCTGCGGAGGGTGAATGCCCACGGGAGGTCTTTTATTTGTAACTGGTATCTAATTAGGAGTTACTGATGTGAAGAAACCAGGAAATCGCCACGTAGGCAGCCTATTGGCAAGGCGAAAAACCACGACAAACTACTAGTGTTCATTGGTTTTATCCACTTGGCCACAGGTGAGCCCTGGCCACGTAGTTTCCGAGCTTTCCTGGAGTGTCTGGAACCTAAATAGGGACTGGTTTCCCATAGAAAACTCTTCCCAATATGCACCAACTCTTGGCAGATCACGAAAGTGTTGCGTTTCCTTATCCCAACAGACCAATTTAAACCAATCATTCCTTCTTAATAAGATAAATAATCATACCACGTACTTTAAATTTATTATTTGTTTTATATATTTGAATTAGATTTCGTTCTAAAAATAGATAATTCACTTTATTGAGAATTATTAAAATTAATTTTATTAAATAAAAATTCTTAGAAAAGTTACTTTACACAAAACCAAAGAATTTCTTTATTTACATTGCACTTTGCTTTTCTTCTGAATAAATTTTGTTTAAACACATTCTCTTACGTGTAAACTTTAAGAAAATTAAGTATTTTAATCTATTGATGTTGTTGGCCAGTACTTTCTTTTGTTTGTAAACCACAGAAGTCTTTGAAACATGATTTTTCTCTTATTCTCTTCGAACATTTATGAAATATCCCATACATGATACAGTTTATTAAATATTTACTTAATTTCTTCAATAATTAATAAATATTTTGAGAAAAATGAAGAAAGCAGTTTTAAATTATGCGATGTGCAAAATGATTTGCAATGTTTAGATCCAATATCACAAATTAATTATTAACTAAGACAACTTATTAATATTTAATTAACGAATTTTATTGATAAATATTTTATTCATCTACAAAATCAGCAGCAAATTTTCACTGCGTTACAAAATAAACTTACTCTATGATAAATGTCATAAAAATTAAAATATTTATGAAATTTTCGAGAAAAAAACGGAAATTTACATTTAAATAAGAGTTTTTATGCCAAAATACGAGTAATCTAATTTTTGGAATATTTTAATAATAATAATAATATAAAAAGTTATTTAGAAATAAATTAGTGAAATACTTTTAATGTTTGTTTGGATAAATTACTACAAGTTTCTTGTGTACAGTAAATACTATGGTATAGAAATTACTTTGGTAGTATAACATCAGGTATAATGACAAGTTTCATTAGGTTATAAAGCAAACTTGGATCACAAAATGGAAATTAACTTTTCTTTGGTTAAATGACTTATTCTATAGACTAATTGACTATACAGAATTGATGTCATTGACCAAAGTTTCTACTCGTAATCGGGTTTGATACGATATTTGGCAAACTCGTAAACTCACTTTTGAGATAATTATCTGGAAATTTTCTCCACTTTGTCTTAATATCATAAGCGAAACATTAACCACATTCACTTGGCTCCCAAGTCCTTAATAAAGAGTTTATTTCGAGAACGTCTTCACGGGTTATCTAATAAAATAAATTACAGTTAAAAATCTTCAAAGAATTGCAATTTTGTAACACGATTTAAACGAAACTTTCTTTATAAATTAATTATTTATTTGTCATTAAGTAAATTTATTTAACATTCATTATTTAAAGTAGATAGATTATTTATTTAAGTTTTAAATTTTAATTATTTTGAATATTTTTATGTTTTAAATACAAATAATATATAAAATAATTTCAATTAAAAATTA